CCAGCCCTCAGACGTCGAGCGAGGCGGAGCTAGCCCTCAGTCGTTGGGCGAGGCGGAGCCAGCCCTCAGCTGTCGGGCGAGGCGGAGTCTAGCCCTCGGGGGTCGGGTGAGGCGGAACTAAGCTTCCGTCGTTCGGGCAAGAAGAGTAGTAGCGTTCTTGTCTGACCGGAAGCGTCAACGTTAGATGGTTATTAGTTCCACCTCATTGGGTACCCCGGTATTAGGTCCCCGACAGTTACGCTAGGAGAATTGGTGGCCTTGTATATTGTTTTGTTGTCAGTGTTTTTGTCATTCTGTTACGAATTTCTGAAATATGAATGGCTACCGTTATGTATAAGTGGAGGAAGATTTACGCCATGGAAATCCAAAACAGGTATATAGAAGAAATTTTAAAGAAAAGTGAATTTTATGAGATAACAAAAATGAAAATTTTATGAGTATAAAGCAAAAAAATCTTTCCTATGGATAGGAAAACACGTCGCTCATACGTATGTTACTCAGGTATCATTTTTTCCTCTTGCAATACACGGGAATTTGAAATTATAGCGGTCAGAGCTTAAATTTCCTATATGGATAGAAAAACACGTCGCTTCCTTTACGTTTTTAAATCTTTGTCGGCAGTATTATCTATGCGACAGCACTAATATTTACATATATATACTCGAACCTGTGTATAGGATGGTATGAAGATACGGCGGAACTTATTCGTGGATTTATTGACGCACAAAAGAAATGGATATCGGAGATTTCTTCTTGCCGATATAAAACATTACATTAGTCGTATCACGAAAAGGTCTATATAGTAGAGTTTGTGAGCCCACGACACCGCACTCTTCGTGACTGTTAATTTCACAAACTTTGCTTTTTGGATTAATATCACTTTAACGTCGGTATTTAATTTTACAGTATTGTTATCTTATCGTGCGATCCATGTGTTTTTAGTATAAAAGTTTAGCTGTCCCGTAGCAACGCACGGGCACGCTACCTAGTTGTAATTTACATTTAGACCAGTGGAATCTGCAAAAGGTATTCAGAAGGCTCTTAAGAAAAACAAGCTGATTGCTGCAACCTTCCATGATTATTAAAGTGTTATCTGCATAACAGAGAGTAGGAAAATCAGTATTATGCTGAGAGGTAGAGGAAGTCTCAGAAGGCCTTGGTCTTTTGCATTGTTAGAAAAGAAGTGGGGAGAGAGGGTCCCCCGGTCTCACCATCCGTGGATGATAAAAAGTCTTGCCAGGAACCCCATTAAGAAGAATGGAAGAAGTCCCTGATGAGAAAATAGCTTTCGTCCAATTCAACTAGAGCCGACCAAAACCCTTATGTTGCATGATTTTGCAACATGGCTTCATGTTCAACTTTGTCAAAAGCCTTTATCAAATGCAGAAGGGCCTATAGCCTAGTGGGTTACAAGAGCTTTAGTAGCATGTGAGGTCCTGAGTTCGACTCCCCGTGAGAGCAAATATTCTAGGATTTAACGGTTTTGTGCTTTCAGTGGTAGACGATGTTCCAACAACAATAAGGCGGCTATGGTGACTTCGTCAATCTCGTCACGAGGATTTGTCGATCCATTCTTCGAAGATGTTCATAGGGTAGGGTTTGCAGACGAGCGAGTAGTCATAGGGGTGAGTGTGTGCGCGCGTTGTGAGCATCTGTGTTGTACTATATAATTAAAAAAAGCCTTCTACCAAATAGCTATTGAGTCTTCACTTTTTTTATGAAAACAGGAGAGCGTTCCCCGTTAATAATATATTTAAAATAAAAGGAGGTGTCATACGGAACTCTAGCCACAATTCAATTCTATGGAACTCTACACGGTGCACATATTTCTTTTCCAAGTGTGAACTCAGTTAGCATTAGAGCATCTTCAAGAGTCTTTCTTAATCCCACTCTCTAAGTCATAATTTTGAGAGTCATTTGAATAAAAATAACTCTCTACCAAGAGCTTCTCTATATCTTGTTCATTCTCTAGAGAGCCAACTCCGTTCTCTATTTTTGGTTAGCGAGAAATCCAGAATAGAGGATGATAATATTTAGATAACTAACTAAACAAGTTGTTGGAAGACATTTTTTTCACCAAAATCTATATGCCACAATAAGGAAAGGATATTAAGAGCCTCTTAGAGTCTACAGTTCAATTTGGGTCTCACCATGCGTCTCCTGGTACCATCCCCGGCCATCTTTCGGAGTTGTAGACCTGTCATACACTCATACGCCACATCCTGTTTTTTGATGAACAGGGAAGCACATATTTTAAACTACAGGGCTGAATTCAAATGATAAATGGATAGGAAAACTGTTGGGCTGTATCTGTGTGTATATGTGTGGTGATGGCCCAAGAGCCCATGTACAATGTACATAGTTGTAAACTCTGCAAGGAGACTGTGAATGAGCTCCAAAAATTTCCAGTCCTTCAAAAACACGGGATGATAAAGGAACATAGCCAATCAGAAGTACATACCTTATGTTGTGCATCATGTAATAATAGCAAAAATCTCCCCACTGTTGTGATGCCCATTGTTGATGTTTTGTTACATAATGCTTATGGGCCCATTCCTAATGGACATGAACAATCAGCTAGTTCACCAAAGTTCTAAAACCAAGAATGGAAGAACGAGATATACCAACACTTCGTATTAACAGTTGTGAAGATACACTATACATTCCAAATTCAAATAAGATAACCCACATAGGCACATACGCAAATAAATCGGAGCGCGATCAGCCACTCAAACACTGTTTAATACTGTTTTCGGACACTGTTCAACACTATTTACCACTGTTAAAATTGTGTACTGCTGTTCCTCACTATTCACTTCTCCAATTTCTAATTACCATCTCTTCACTGTCGAAAAAAAAAACGGCCCAGCAGAGCGCCCCCCTGCTGTGCTAGTCATGTCTTGTAGAGTTAAATTGGGCATAGCTAAGTTATTTGGTTTTCTTATGATGAACCCACCTACCAGGGTCTAAGTTCTCGAATTCAGAGGAGTAATTGATTTATTCTACCATGTAATAGCATTATTTCTTCGATGGTAAGTGACATACACACAGTTTGACATCCCAAAGTGCTCATAGGTAAGTTAATAGGTGAGTGTGCATGTGCATTTATGAGTGTCTATACTGAGATTCACAAAAGAATGTAAATTGAGATACAAAAGTTTGGCATCACAACTCATTAAGCTTTAGCTTTGAGTTCGAATTTCAAATTCCATTTCTTTTGTTTGAAATATTAGTTTGGTACTATGAAAAAAAATAATGCACCAAAATTAAAAATTCATGTACCAATAGTTCCAGTCATAATCTGGTGCAGAATGCCCCAGGAATTGATTCGACCTGTCCTTTTTTCTTTTTTTGTTGTTGTGATCATTTCAATTTGGGATACAGTTCGTTTCGCTAAAATTTGGCTTATGCTGATTTGCTGTGAGAAGAAAATATTGTTCGTTCGTTGAAAAGTACTGTTGAAGTAATGTTGAAGAACAGGCCAAGTATATGATGTACCCTCCTGTTGCTATCAGGAGACAACTTGTACTAAATCTCTTTGAAAATGGTTGCGGCAGCACTGCAGCTCAGCAGATGTTACCCAAAAAGAAAGCAGAGTAGGACGTACTCACTTCTCAGACAGTGACGTGTCAACTGCAAGCCGGATACACATCAGAAAAAAAAACGTTCTTTGCACGTTTGTGGAAAAAAAAAAGTTACAATTGAGGAAGAAGGAACGCCATTCACTGATGCCGCTCTTCTGACACCATTGGAGCTCGACAAGATTATCAAAGTTGGAAGCTTTGAAGCAAACACTTGCTTTATGAGAAACCAAAACTCCCATCCGACACACCTGTTGAGGTCACGATTCGCTTTTAAATTATGGAAGTTCATGATACGAAAGCAATCATGGCGCAATTTGCCCACATGTCAGTAATATATGTGATCGAAACAGCCAAACAGGGCTGGATGAGCTGTTACCATCGGCTTACCCGGAGCCACGCTTGCCAATGCCAGGAAATGTGCATTTTGAATGGACGAATCTTCATCAGGTCGTTGAGATGAGATCAACCATTTCACACTGGCAGACAGTCTCCTCAATTCTCAGAACATAAGGACTGAAAATGACTTTCGGGCCATTTTGAAAGAACACTAAAAGCAGTGAGAGTGACCTTGGAGTCCGCAGCCGCAACAAAGTTCACAGCAGCTACAGTCCTGGTTTCAGATCTCAACAACTCTTCAGCCAGGCCCATAGATTTGTGTGCACCTTGCCTCTGACTCCTTGACTCCCTGAGCATGCTGATGTGCATATACAATACAGGTACAGCACACTACCACCATTCCAAGGCTAATTGAGAAGGCGGCAGTCTGGCAAAGGTATGCGACTGCTCTGCTCCCACCAATTTTGTAGGCTGTGTCTGGATCTTCATGCTTCCATGCTTGGGTTCAAGATTTTACTTGTGCTCCCTTCAGGTTACGTACTTGAGTCCACGCTTTTTCTGTCACCTGGAGACAACGGAACAAATTGGTTCAGGGTCAGAAATGAATCGGGTCGTGCTGAATACTGCTATGTATATATAACAATCAGATTGCACACGTGAATTTTATCATTGCAGGTCCTGCAAAGGTAATAAATCTTTTGGTATAAGAAATACCTTGAAGAGATAAAGATAATTGGGGTTCATCAATCACGATAATGGTAGATAGATTCGTCATAAGTTAAGCCTTGTAGTTATTCTTCAAGTATTTCCTTTCCCTGAATAAAGATGTTGATGCTAAGTTTTGAACTGTTATTTAGACAGATTTCTTGCATCGTCGCATCGATGATGCGATGGTTGCAACAGAAATATGGTAGATAACACCTCTACTAATCATTTTTGCCACTCCTCTACTCTTTAAGTTTTCAAACTTAACAATGGCAATTCTGTGCGCCATGTTGCTTGTTTTAACTGGTTTAAGCATGTTTTAGAAACACTGTCTTACATAACATGTCGCATAAACGCATCGCAGGGACCAGAGAGATGAAGCCTATCCCGCATATATTGATCATAATAGCTGCTTTGTGTTCTCAACCTGACAATGCCACATGCTCCACCGAGCCGGAGCTGGATCTTCTGTCTCTGCTGGATTTCAAGAACAGCATAACCTTGGATCCCCCTGCAGTCCTAGCCACCTGGAACTACAGCATCCACTTCTGTGAGTGGGAAGGAGTCTCCTGTCACAGCACGAAGCACCCACGCCGTGTGACCGCCCTGGACCTTGCTAACCAAGGCTTGCTTGGCCACATTTCACCCTCTCTTGGGAACCTGACATTCCTCACAGCACTCAATTTGTCGCAAAATGGCCTCACCGGAAAGATACATCCTAGGCTGGGTCGCCTACAACACCTGGAGTTCCTGATCTTGGGGAACAACTCATTGCAAGGAAGAATTCCCAATGAACTCACCAACTGCACAAGCCTGAGGGCCTTGGACCTGTCCAGCAACCAACTGGTAGGAGAAATTCCAGTCAAAATTGCATCATTTTCAGAACTTGCCAGTCTAGACCTGTCTCGGAACAACATCACTGGAGGAATCCCATCTTCGCTTGGCAACATCTCAAGCTTGAGCGAGCTTATAACCACAGAGAATCAACTTGAGGGGAGTATACCGGATGAACTGGGACGGCTACATCGTTTGACATTGCTAGCCCTTGGTAGAAACAAGCTTTCAGGCCCAATCCCACAAAGCATCTTCAATCTCTCTTCCCTGGAAATCATATCCCTGGAAAGCAATAATCTGAGTATGCTTAATTTGCCACTTGATCTTGGCACAAGTCTTCACAATTTGCAAAAGCTTTACCTGGATTGCAACCAGATCAGTGGACCAATCCCTCCTTCGCTGTCCAATGCTACTCGCTTTGTGGATATAGATTTGTCATCCAATTCTTTCACGGGTCATGTGCCAACAACACTCGGAGGTCTTAGAGAACTCTCTTGGCTGAACCTTGAATTCAATCACATCGAAGCAAATGACACACAGAGCTGGATGTTTATGGATGCCTTGACAAACTGCAGCTCCCTGAATGCGCTCGCACTGTTCCAGAATCAGCTAAAGGGAGAGCTACCATGTTCTGTGGGAAATCTGTCCTCCCGACTTCAATATCTCATCTTGGGTCAAAATGAACTTTCAGGTTCTGTCCCTTCTAATATCAGCAATCTTCAAGGCCTTACTAACCTGGGACTAGACTCCAACAATTTTGATGGCACGATAGTGGAATGGGTAGGGAAATTCAGGTACATGGAGAAACTATTCTTGGAAAACAACAGATTTGTCGGTCCAGTTCCGACATCAATCGGCAATCTTTCTCAACTTTGGTACGTGGCATTAAAATCAAATAAATTTGAAGGGTTTGTACCGGTAACTCTTGGGCAACTACAGCATTTACAGATTTTGGACATTTCTGATAACAACCTCAATGGTAGCATTCCAGGTGGCCTGTTTAGCATTCCTGTGCTGATCTCTTTCAACTTGTCATACAATTATTTACAAGGAATGCTGCCTCTGGAAGTTGGAAATGCAAATCAACTCATGGAGATAGATATATCATCAAACAAAATATATGGGAAAATACCGGAGACTCTTGGTAACTGTGATTCACTTGAGAACATCTTAATGGGCAGTAACTTTCTCCAGGGAGAAATCCCTTCGTCACTTAAAAACCTGAAAAGTTTGAACATGCTCAATCTTTCTTGGAATAACTTGTCCGGATCCATTCCAGGTTTCCTTGGTAGTCTGCAATTTCTGAGTCAGTTAGATCTGTCTTACAACAATCTACAAGGTGAAATACCAAGAGATGGAGTCTTTGCAAACTCCACTGCCCTCACATTGGTTGGAAACAAGAACCTTTGTGGAGGACTTCTGGAGCTTCAGTTTCAACCATGTCCTGTTCTGCCTTCAAGGAAGAGGAGATTATCTCGGTCACTCAAAATATTAATCCTAGTTGCATTCCCAGTGGTAGTTTTAGCATTTGCTGCAACTGTACTCCTTTTCTGTAGGAAAAAATTAAGAAAAACAACACCGACGGTGCTTTCTGTTCTTGATGAGCACTTACCACAAGTTTCATACATGGATCTTGCCAAAGCTACTGACAACTTCTCCCCATCCGACGTGATTGGACAAGGAGCACATGGGTTCGTATACAAAGGATTTATCAGTCACCTCAACTCATTTGTGGCTGTCAAGGTCTTCAACCTTGAAATGCAGGGAGCACATCATTCTTTTGTCGTTGAGTGTCAAGCCTTGAGACGTATAAGGCATCGAAATCTTGTTAGTGTTCTCACTGCTTGCTCGAGTGTAGACTATAAAGGAAACGAGTTTAAAGCAATTATTTATGAGTTCATGAGTTCAGGTAACTTGGATATGTATTTACATTCACAGGAAAGCAGTGAGCTTTCTCCTGGGCATCTTAGCCTCACCCAAAGGCTAAACATAGTTATTGATGTAGCAAATGCACTGGATTATCTGCACAACAGCTTGCAGCCTCCAATTGTTCATTGTGATCTGAAGCCTAGCAACATCCTTCTAGATGATGACATGAACGCTCATGTGGGTGACTTTGGCCTTGCAAGACTTCGCAATGATGGGGCATCAACCTCGACAGAATGTTCAACTAGCACAGTCGGTTTCAGAGGAACAATTGGGTATACCGCTCCAGGTTAGTCTTATATATGTGATTGCCACACCGTATTTTAAAAAAACTCAACGTCACATATATATTATATATGTTATCTACTAATATACTACATATTTCAGAGTATGGGACTGGTGGTCATATCTCCACTGCAGCGGATGTTTATAGCTTTGGGGTTCTACTTCTAGAGATGGTTACTGGAAAGAGACCAACTGATAAAATGTTTATGGAAGGCATGAGCATTGTTAATTTTGTGCAAAAGCACTTCCCTGACCAAATAATGCAGATCCTTGATGTCAGCCTGCAGGAAGATGATGATGCCCTATACAAAGCAACAGAAACTACAAGTGAAGGAAGGGTGCATCAATGTGTGCTAATGATGCTGGAAACGGGACTTGTATGCACACGGCAATCCCCAAAGGAACGGCCTGGCATGCAGGAGGTTGCAAGAAAGTTGTACACAACAAGGGTAGCCTATCTTGAAGATGGTTCTTACTGATGGTCATGACAGAGTTTCAGATAGTAAGTATTGATCCTAACTGTTTGTGTATGTACAGTTGTACACACTTGTACACAACAAGGGCATGCAGTTGAAGTTTCTTGTTTTCTTGGCTAATCACTCATGTAAACTCATGCCCTAATGGGCTTGTTTTGAGTCTTCTTAGACTCCCTTTCTTCTTCTAAATATAATGATACGTGCGTGTTCGAGAAAAAAAAGTTAAGTAGAAGCCTCTATGCTGTCCGAACTAAAAAAAATATTTCACCACCTGTGTGCAAAGTGTGATTATTCTAACACATGGCCCCAACATACACATGGGCATCGGTCATCAACGTTGTGTCATTGTGTGCAGAAGGGCGTCTGGGAATCGGTGTTCAGATGGCAATAGCAATTAATGCTTGCGGCATCGATCACACCGTGGCTAGTCTTAGTCTGCAGTGGGACACAAGTTTAATAAGGTCACTTTGGCCTCATACGCGTAGGGCATCCATAGCGTGCAAAAATTGGGGGTCATATGACCGCATACACTACACAGGTTGAGCTTTAGACACCTGAAGAAAAGTCTATCCGCATTTGGGATCGCTGCCAAATTTCTCCTAGTGTCTGCTCTTGCATAATGAACAAATGCATTGTAGCAAAGTGCACTGATCACCAATGACAGACCACAAACACCCCCTAACCTTCCTCAATTACATTTATGCTATAGTGAGCAGTTCAGTGCTACAGGCCACATCCTTAACCACCCCACCCGGGAAATGACAGTTCAGGGCGTATACCCTTGGCATTTCCACGCCCAACCCAAAGCACCTCCATCAGCAATCATCCCCAAAACAACATCGGTGCCCAAAAAGAATCGCTGTCTCCAAGTGCTGCCACTGAAACGTACCTCCGCGACGGTAGTTCTGGTGAGGCGGTGATGAGGCTCCCTGTCGACAACGCTGGCCTTGGCCACTCCGCTTTGCAGCACTGACCCGGCGGCGGCCCCAACTCCTCTTTCTCCTTCCCCACCAGAATCCCTCGTCCCTGCCGAATCCGGCCATTGGATAGGCTTTTCCGCGCGGAATCGACGGCTCAGGTAGTCTCTCTCGGCTTCACCGAGTCGCGCGGAATCCAATCGCTCATATCGATTGAAGGCGTGAAGCCAAGCGTTTGAGGTTGCAAGCAGGAAGCAGCTCGAATCCAGTGCGGTTTGAGCGTTGCTTTGAATTCCGATTGAAGGCTACTCCCTCCGTAAAAAAAAAATAAAAAATAAAATGGAATTTAAGTTTACCAAATCTATAAAAAATTACAAATATTTAGATACCGAATAAATATCATTAAATGAATCATAGATTTTTTATTTTCATATTAAATCTGATTGGAGAAAAAATATTAATTTTTTTTCTAAAAACTTGATTAATAAATTTAAAAAGTTCGAGTTATCTAAAATCTAGAATTGTATTTTTTTAGATACATGGAGTACCTTCATCGCCAAAAACACACGAGGGGCCGTTTGTGTCCTTTTATTTTATAGAAATTGGAATCTACTTAATGAATTAGGTTATTTGGCTTGAAATTTGAGATTCCACAACTTCCCAAAGTTCATATATAAGACTATCTCAAATCATAGGGTGTGAGATGAAAAATGATTTTATAGATCACCATGTTATATTTCTACTTTTCAACTTATAGCACGCTCTTTAACTTATTTTCCCTATAGTAGAAATGCAATATATAAACATCTTTCTAGCATGACTAACAATAGTATAAATATATATTCCATATACAACCATATTAACTTCATTAATATGTGCCTAAATTATAATTTATTAAAATGAATTTAATTCCTAGGACCCAAACTGGGCCTAAGATCAGTGGAGGTGAAAAAGACTATAATTCCATGTTTTATTACAAAATGAATCCCTTAAAAGGAGGCATGGTTGGTTATCTAAATAAAAATGTGTTGCTTGGAGGCATGCAAAAGTCCTCAGAAGATCATGTTTTTTTAGGACGGAGCAAGTATATTTTAGTTTTGTCAAACTTGCTAAGAAATTTAATGATACTTATTTGATAATATAAACATTAGTTTGCTAGTGTATAAATATGGTCGAATTTTAGATAGCTTGTCTTAGGACAAAACTAAAATATAGAAGTTTTTTTCGGGGACAAAAGGAGTAGAAGGATTTAGTAGAAGGCTTCAATCCCGTCGTTTTCTTAACAACCAATCCCACACACTAGCATGACATACACCGTTCGTTACAATGGGATATATAACTTGTTGCAACTTGCAAGATACCAGCCCCAATAATAATGAGATATCCATCTTTGTAATTTAACTAGACTTAGCCTAACCTTGTTTCCATTAGAGTAAAATGCACTATAGGTTTTAAGGTGGTTTTAATGTTTTAACTAAAAAGATTTTAATAAACACATAAGAACATTTTAAAATCTTTAAACATCAAAAAAAATTTGGAGAAAAATCAGAGCGATTGGAACACAAACAAATAAAATATTTAGAAAACACTATGCATATCTATTAGCTTCCATAGATTAGATTGAGCTCTAGGAAAATGAAAAAATATGTAGAGAAATCTTGAACATTCTCAAAAGATTTTAATCAATTTCTAAATGCATTTCAAAAATTTCCTTAGACAAAAATATGAGATACAACCATCATAAATGCAACATACATTAATGTTGAATGCATTCATGCCGGTGGCATCTCATGTTTTTGTAGTGAAAAGTTGTTAGCACGTGCTTACTGATTGGAATGTTTTAGGAATTTTCCATATTTTATGGATATTTTTCTAGAGCTAAATCTATTTTTTTGAAGATTTTAGATATATTTCCACAAGCTCAAATATTTTATTTGGATTTCATGTCCCAAGCTATCTCTAAGATTGTTCTAAAATTTTTTATAAGCTTAGATATTTTTCGTGTTTTAAAATCCTTATCAGGTGTTTACTAAGACTTTTTAAATTAAAAAAAATGATTAAACCAGCTTCCAAACCAATTATAACCTGAATATGGAGGTAATTTGAAGGGTTTTGAGAGTTTAGAGAGACCGTTTGTAGAATTTTGGAGTTTGAGAAGAAAACCTGAACTACGACGATAGTTCTACAGGCAAAAATGAATTTTCCCCTACAGATATGACAGTGTCCCGGGGCATGTCCTACGAATCAATGTCTCCAAAGCTATGCTGTTGAGTGGACTATTTATTCTTCTATTCTATTTATTTAGAAGTTCAAATCTAAACATGTACAAAACCTGGGTAATCTTCATCCTAATAGTGACACTGATGGCCAATTGGTCATTTTGCATATTATAAACAGTCAAGTGAGCTCCCTTCGCCGTGTCAGCAAGACACTTCATACGTTTAAGTTACTATTATATGACTCAAAAACAAACAGGATAAATAGGAGACAGTAAACCTGAAAAATAAACAAAAGATTTATTTCCCATCCATTTACAAGTAGTCGAGTTATAATGCAAGCGGTTACACTATTTAGGTTATTTCACATGAAAATTATACGGGAAAATTTGGCACCAGAAGATTTATGCCAGTCTGTTCCAGACATCTAGTGTCCAGACAAAATTAGTACATAATCGTGTAAGTAGTAGAAACTGTTCTACAAGCAAAACATTCCAGCATAATTTCTTCTGGAATAGGAACCGCGAAAAACAAGTGTAAGAATAATCTGTCTGTGAAGTGATCAAGATTCCTTGTCAAGCAACAACTGAGATCTCAGAGGCTTGTCGTGATGTGTGTAGCAGCATACCGTCCAGCACTGAAGGACTTCCTATACCAAAAGCAACGCAGCCAACAGACGAATCGAAGCCGATGAGAACAAATCAGCAGCTTTATTCCACTCTGAGACATGTCCCAGTAGAACTCCTATGCAGGCAGCATCTATCTATGCCGATCTATGTCCTACACTTTCCCTCCCTGTTACGTTTTTTCTCACAAAATCAAAGTGCCGTGCTTCCTATGACTGTACTGTCAAATCTGGAGGGCCTGGGGAAACAGCACCATGGAGCGATAAAATGCTTTGTCTTTAGTTTTGCACCGTAGCTATGCGTTCTGGAAGGGGAGAATCAGATCCCATGCTCTCCATTATTGTACACAAGAAACAGAGCATTGATGGCGCTGATCAGATTAGGTACAATGTTTGGGGGAAGATGGATCAGGTAACAAGTACGGAGTACCATGCACAGAAATTATCAGGACAGCTATCCAGTAAAGTAAAAAAAAAACAATTCACCGTGAGGATATATATATATCATGAAATATGCATGAGGAATGACATCCAGATGGATTTCCACCCTGAGTTCACCTATCAATGGGTCCTCGTGTCAGTCTAGTTCACACCTTGTACACAAGAAGTTTATAACAAAATAATTTGCAGCTATCAACCCTTCATAGTGGAATTTGTGTAATACTGTACAGTTTCTAATAATTGTGTCCTGCTCCCATCTTTTGTTCAAAAAGCCAAGGTTCCACTTTGCTAATAATGCTAGCTACAGCATCGGTGGTGCTGTCGCATACTCGCATGATCCCACAAAGTAAGCAAAACAGTACAGTCCAAGACTGCAATCCCAGCAAAATTGACTTTAGATTCTGGGAGCATCAGTTCCGGTGGTGTTTTGTCCAGAGGGGTCCAATCAGAGGCTCAAAACCATCATTTTAGTTGCCCAATTGGAAGCTAGCAACACTGAACAAAATCGTCTGTAACCCCGCAGACGAGTAATGAACCCCTCCTCGTTAGCTTTGCTGTATGTTAAGTGTGTCTAATTCTCTATAATCCAATGGATGTACAGTGTATGTTCTATTGCCAACCATGGTTGGTGGTGGCAATGCGTCTGCAAGGCCACAGCTAGTGTATAAATACCTGGGTTGAGGATTTGGGAGGTACCAAACAAGAAGGAACTGCCATCAGCTGGTTGCTACCAAGGATAACCACCAGTGCATTTTGGCAAACACTCCAGCCTGCGTTGATGGGTCGCCATGCGCTTGCGAAATCAGCAGCTCTTTTCCGGTAACTAGTAATACACTCTGAACCTGCAATGACAAACCAACAGTGATTAGATAGGTGTTCATTCTGGTTGCTTCCAGTTCCACCTTGATGATCATGAAGTATGGCTGAACAACAAGGATTGATCTCATATTATACTGCAAAAGATTTGTATTGCCACATGCAGAACCATTTCAGCTCTTTGAAGTAACTGATTAAATTGCCATTTGCAGGGAAGTTAAGAACAAGCAAAGGACTAACCTTGTGAAGCGACTGGAGCCTACAGAGGCGAGGTCCCCAGAAACATCAGTGTGGGTGCCACACCCAAGGACAGGGATCTACTACCCCAAGGGCTTTGAATGGGTCATGGAGGACGTCCCCAGCAGTGCAGCTTCATTCCAGCAGTCATACTGGTTCAGGACTGGGGAAGCAGAGCCAGCAAGCTCTACTACATCAAAGAACGATTCTGCTTCCTTTGAGCATCCATTTGTTTGATGTATGAGAGGCTTTGCTCTGGAAAAATACAGAAAGACACAGCTGTGTGTTTTCAGGAAGAAGGGAGATACAGCTGTGCAAGCCATCACCATCATGCCAGGTCCATGGACGCTTCATGCTATGACATACTTACCAGTTGTTCTGATTCCAAGTGTGCAGTCGCAGCACCCACCAACAGATCAGAAACAGCATCCGCCTTTCTTTTGTATTTTTCTTAACATTCTGTTAGTTCTACTTAAAAAAACTGCCCTAAACTGTAGCTTGAGAGCAGTGTTTTTTTAAGCTTGTCCTAAGAAAAGAAACTAATCTAAGCTTTGGTTCTCATACTGCTAAGGGAGAAGCAAACTTGAAATATCATCATAATACTGATGGTTTCAGCAAACTTATTTTCATAATTTCGTGCCAATTCAAATTTCAGATCAAGTCTACATATGTTACCTGTATAACAAGCACATCAACTCACAAAGTAACATAAACGATAGCGAAGAGCCTTCAACCATGAAAAGTAAAAATTAATTGGGATTTCACAAGAGAATTTTTCGAGATGATGCAGCAGGTTAAAACTCAATCTCAGAATCCCTTTTTCATGGAGTTCTTCACCATTGCGGCATGGCAAATTTGGAAGCAGAGAAACAACTTCATCTTTGATAGGGGTCGGCCTTCTTTTATCTCTTGGAAGAACTCCTTCTGTGAAGAAGCTAGGCTTCAAGCTCATAGGTTCAATGTTATAAAGCGTCTAGAGTTCCTTTCCTGTATAGTCCCTCTAGCCTAGTTCTTCTGCCTTCCCAGGGCCTGCTTATTGTGTAGCCCCTCCTTCCCTTGCTGTGTTGCCTTTGTACAGTGTTGTTTCTCTTTTTGGTTTTAATAAAATTCACAGTGGGGGCCTCCCCTGCTGTATATTTCTTTCAAAAAAAAAAGCCATGAAAAGTAAATGAATAGCATGTAGCGCAAATATTAGGGTCATTTCTTCCTAGTTGAAAATTCATTCATTAACATCATCCTGGTTACATAAAATGAAAATAAGTGTAGCATAACATTGCTAACAAAGAACACACAGGTATGTAATGAAACTGCAATTCAGCACATAGAACATAATCTCTGTGAATTATATGGTCGCAGGCCTACTAGCCATAAGGACGAGACTTTTCAGCAAGCTCCTGTGAAACAACTTTTGGTGCTTCATCTCCTTCAACCTTCTTCTGAAATTCAATGCCCTGGAACTGGACTCTTGAAGATCGATACTGACAACCAAAAGCATTTCCAAAGCCCCATCCTAGTCCAAGACCAACTCCGCAGCCCCCACCTATTTTGTAACAAGATGAATATTAATAATCCACTAACAAGGAAATGTAAGTGATGATAAGCTCAGAAGTAGTACCGATACCCAAGCCGAACATGTTAAGAGGCATTCCTGTGGTAGAAAAGCAAACCAAAAGCATGTCATTTCTTGATCATGAATGGGCATTGTCATTGAACACTACTCCCTCCAATCACAAATAAGAGACATTTTGGGGTTATCTTAAATGAACCTTTCTAAACATTGGTTGCATATTACTCTCTATACTGAGTTCGGAATTTATAATAGCACAAAATTACAAATAGAGCTGTCCCCAAATATATAGATTCATAAAAGTATACTTAATTAAGATCATGTTGGTCAGGTGAATTGGTTTCAGATTACTTCGCAGCTGTGAAATAGCTCATTCATGAGCCATGAAAACTAAACCCCTACCCCTCCGCAAGTGTCGGGAACCAATGCATATGCACAATGTTGGTCTGTAGTCGCTTTTGCAACTAGTTAGGAGTGAACAGATATTACGCAACTTGGGAAAAATCACAAGGGAAACAAGCCATCTTGAGGCTACTGACAACTTGGGACTGAACTGCATCCGCATGCCTGTCCATAACTTGATAAGTCATTTCTACCGCCGTCATAACTAGTTAGGAGGTGACGTCAGCGACACATTGGCCGGGCCGTAGTGGGCTACACATTGGCTGATGGGCTTTCCCCTCGCTTTGGGCTAGCCTCACCTTCCTGGCGCAACAACAAACAGAAAGGCCTTTCCCTCAAAAAAAAAAAAAGGCCTATAGGCTGGACAGGACCTTCTGGGCCCATCGATTCCAAAGTCCAAACCGTTTACCTACCTTTGTCTCCCACGTCGAAAAAGCGGATAATTAAAGCTTTCAAACGCGCGCGCTTGCGGCGATCTCGGCCGTCCAATCCGCCGACTCCTCCATCCAACGGCTGGAACTTCCCCGGCCGGCCTACTACCCGTCTACTACCCGGCGACCTCGCTCGCCCACGGCCACCGTGAAACCTTATCCCCAAAACCACGCGGATAAACCCTAGCTGCGCTGAGCCCCCCCGGCGATGTCGGCGACGGCGGCGGCGATCCGTTCCGGGAGCTCCTCGCGTGCCCCGTCGCGCTGCGGCGGGCGCCCGTTGTGGTGTCGGTGCGGACGAGGGCGAGGGCGAGGGGCGCCGCCGTGGCGGTGCGGGCGGAGGCGACGGCCGAGGGGGTAGGGAAAGGGGGGAAGAAGGCGGCGGCGGGGAAGAAGAGGCCGGCGAGCGGGATCACCAAGCCGAAGCCCATCTCTCCGGAGCTGCGTGAGTTCGTCGGCGGCGCGCCGGAGCTGCCCCGGACCGAGGCCATCAAGCTGGTCTGGGCGCACATCAAGGGCAACAACCTCCAGGTTTGATCCCCGCCCCCTCGCTATCTATCCCTGTGCGTGTTTTCGTCTCCTAGCATGTGATGTGCAGCAGCGTGACTGTGTGGTAGTGAGATTTAGTTGTGTTTTGGTTATCAATATTGTGGCTGCATTGTGTTTGCTTCTCTGATCTGATTGAGTCCTATCGGTAGCTGAAGTAATCTGAGTCTGAGAATTGTGTTGCATGTTTTGGTTGTTTTGTTTTCCCCCTATTTTTGGTGGTACGAGGAGCAACTATAGATTGTATAGTGATGTTGTTTGTTGCCAACTGCAATTGAATGGAGGATATGTATGTATTTGTGAGGAAGGATATGCACATAGCGTAAATATATGTGCCATTGCTGTAATTACTAATCTGTATGTTTAGTTTTGTTTTGTTGAGATTATTTTCGTGGATGACTGGCAGTGTTCCGCAAGGGGCTATTAGGCGCTCGCCTAGGCGCGCTTAAGCGCTAGGCGGAGGGGCATCACCTCGCCTAAGCGGGTAGGCGGAGGATAGCTGGGAGCAACGAATGGATAAGGTGGGACGTGGGAGGTGAGGTGAGGTTAGGGATCAGGCTTGCTGCTCAGACTTTGGCTTGGGCTGCTTTTATGGGCCTTTCTATATAACTCTTGGCCCACTGGTCTCCTGTTTCTTCTTTTCTTTTAGATTTTTAGAGGTAAATATGCATGGATATGAAACACCTAGAAATTGCCTTGGAAACGCCTAGGCGCGCCTAGGCTCTAGGTGGAGGGTCACCGCCTAGAGAGCGTCTAGCGCCTTTTGTAACCTTGATGACAGGGCTGAGAAAATTTATCTAGATTTTCTAAATGCTGTGGTTAGATGGCAGCATTTTTCATTTCCTGGCTGGCAATGCTTGTTCTTACCTGAATAGGATGAATTAGCGGCATCTGTGGTGGATACTGTATAGTTTGTGGGACCACTGTTGTAATTACTACCTCTTTCCCATAAAGGATGCAATTCTAGGTCCCATCAAAGTCAACTATCTTAAGTTTGACTAAGTTATAGAAAATTTTATCAGCATGTATGACTCCAAATTCTAGGTCCCTTGAAAGCAGCTATTGATGTGCCTGAACCGTGATTAGGGGCTCTTGGTGGGTTTCAACTCTAGCCTACCCCAACTTGCTTGGGACTGACAGGCTTTGTTGTTGTTGTTGATGTATGACTCCAAATAGATATACTATACGAGTATATTTCATGATGAATTTAATGATACATATTTAGTATGATAAGTATTATTATCTTTTTATATAAATTTGGTCAAACATCAGATTGTATGACTTAGAAGTATTCTAAAATTGCATCCTTTCCGGAGCGGGGGGTAGTACCAATTTCCAATTTACCATGCTTCTCACGATGGGCCACATTGTACTTTCTCTGATTTTAAGCCTATCCTGTCACTGATTCCATAGTACTTTATCTGCCTATGTGTTACGCTCCTGTTTGTTTTAAGCACCAAGTCATCTGAAGTAGTGAACTTAGGCTTTCAATCCTTAATCACAGGTAGATCATTGATCTGTGCCCGTGTTTTGTTTAGGATCTGTTCACATGCTGTAATTAATTAAACATGGTGGGGGCGGAGTGTGAAGTTATACACTGTATGTATGTGTGGATAACTTCAGTGTGCACACATATTAGTATCAGACTTGACTAGTACTTCTCTCTCAACCATAAGTAGAGACAGTGACTAAGCCATAAGCACCTGTTGGCCCTGGTCCCTGGTCCCTGTTGGGTGTAAAATGTTGAAGGGTGCCCCAGCAGAAAGCCAGAAAGCCAAATGTTATGGCACGCCTACAATCACTGATGACCCTAAAGCAATAGTTGTGTGGACCACAAACATAACATCTTTTGTTGACATGGCTAACCAGTAACTCACTTGAATTCTGTCTATCAGTAATTTCTTCCCTGAAAATTTGTGTTCCATTGATGATCTAAATTTGGGGCTCTGTGCTACTTTCTTATATTCCAAGACAATACTTACAATTTACTGCATCATGCCATAATGTGACTAATAAGATAATCGACTGTCTAGTTCTCGCTTGTGCACATGTTGCTTCTTATGATATATGACCCTCATATTTCAGTCATTCTTAGGTACATCTTTTTTGTAGCACTCAGTGTAGCATTGTGGAATTTTGTGGCCAAACAATTGATTATTCTCTTTGTTTCTGCAACCAGGATCCAAATGACAAGAAGATAATAATCTGTGATGACAAACTGAAGAAGATATTTGGAGGGCGTGACCGTGTTGGGTTTCTTGAAATCTCTGGGCTGCTCAACCCCCACTTCCAGAAATGATAGGATTTTTTTTGTAGATCACTCGCTTTTGTACTAGCTGTGGCTGATGTATGAGCACATTTAGCTAAACCTGGTTTAAAAAGGGTCTCTTAATGGTGGTTTACTGGTTTAAGGAAGGCAATGTGTTCCCTGAAGATGCATGTTCTTCTTATATTTTGTCATTAATGGTGTACTGGCTCTTAATCATTCGTGTTTATATCCTATCCACCTACCATCTTAGACCTGAGTGGTAGATCATCACATTCTTCCTTCATTATATACCTCTTAGCCTGCCCGTAGGTGACAGCTTAAAGCCAAAACCCAGTCTATGATGACCAGGGTCTAAAGGGCGTACCCATGCAGAGAGCTTTCCCTGCTCTGTGTGGGGTCTGGGGAAGGGTGTCAGTGGCAAGCCTTACCCTTGCCGAACCCGGGACCTTCCGGTCAAAGGCGGTAAGATTCTACCGCTTACACCAGGCCCGCCCTTCTATGATAACCAGGGTCTACAATACGGATTTTATGATTGCACCACTGAACTAGCTTGCAATGATCAATGGATGCCGCCAAAACTGTTCATTTGGCAGGACAGAATGGAATATCAAATATTTTCGTGTAGAAGTCCCTCATTCAGCTCCAAGGCCAAGAGGAGGAATGTTTTCCTTCAGTTTGACGCCATCCAAGTGCATCGCATTCTGAAGTTGGTTGGTTGTTTGACAATTTGGCATCAGGGCACTCCCTGTTCACTCCATTTTTTTTTAGGGATGTTCACTCCATTTGAAACCTGTAAATAAATGGATGTTAACCGGGCTTCCCATGCTGGATTACAGGACGTCCTTGAACAGATGAGCTGCTTCACATGCTCCTGTCTGTGGTTTCCAAAAGTACAAAGTACAAAGGTCTGTCGTTTCTCAATGGTAAACGATCTTTCTAGTCTAGATTCTACTTTCCCAGATTCGTGCATTCAGGCAGCTTATTACAGGCTTTCACAGCAATTCTTTCATGCTGCTCTTTTTCGTGCCCGTGATTTTTATCATTGGGAAATTGTCTCTGCAATTGCTGTTTCATTTTTTTCGAAGAACCAGCAGCAAGAGCATGCCGGGTATTTATTAACAGAGAAAAAGTGCAATTGCTGTTTCATGGTTTGCTATTTCTTGAAAAGGTCGTTTGAATAATGAATCGCCGAACATTACGTGTTGTTCCTGTTACTGGCTCGTCAGGGGGCTGATGTGATCTAGCCGTCTATTTTGCGGTAATGGCGGGTTAGATTAGAACGATAGCTGATCGATGATCATGGAATGCAGTCTGATGGTGAGATGTGAGCTGCTATAAGAGGAATCGTGTGATGGACCAGAATGTCACTTTTTTTTTATTATTACACTGATACTAACTGATTAGTGTCGGCTATCAGAGGAAATGTCGGTCAATTGCGGTCGCGTAGGAGTTGAATAAAGTTGGTGTAACCTTTTTGATAGCGAGTGGCTGCCGAGAAGGACTGGTGACTGATTCTGACTAAAGTGCGTCTTCATTTTTCTATGTGCCTTTTTACAAGTATAACAAGCTCCTTTTTAGTTGTTTTTACAAAGTGCAAATGGCAGAGACCATTTCTTTATTCATTGTACTGGCAAAGGATGTCCGAGTCAGGTAGTTTTGGTGTTTTTTTTTTGTTGCCTTCTCGAACCTGTATTGTGTATATATATCTTGGATGGGTGGAAGTATGTTTTGGTTCCCATTCCCATGGATTGTAGAAAAGGCAAAGGAAAAACGTAGGATTGGGGTGGATTTCACATGAAAACCATGGGGGTGGTGGGGTGGGGAATCATCTTTTGCATATGTATTCCTATCATATAGCTAATGGATGCACTCACACTTAGCCACCCAAGCGGTTAGATTGAGTTTAGGACTCGGCCAGAATCCTTAACCAAACCAACCGATGTGATCTTGTCTTTATTTTGCCGCCGATTCCACAACCAAATGGCAAACAAGGATGAATTAGGATGAATATATACATATGTATATAAAAAATGGTAGAACAAGTGGTAAGGGCACTCTCAATGCAGAAACCACCATAGTTTATATGGACATTAATTGTACTGCCACCTAAGCGTTTTGCTGATGTGGCAATGTAGTTATTCAACCTGTTCACTCATTGGTTTCAGCCAGGACTTATCAGCCAGCCAGCCAACAGTGTTTTCCTCTCACAACAAACCAGCACCAGCCGGACTTATCAGCCCAGAAATCGACCAGCGAACAGGTCGATAGAAGAGATAGAGCAAAAATCATAGAAACCGGGTCTAAGTTAGAAATCATGTCTACACGAGAACCAAGACATGAAGGGATGTGATTGGTAGAGAATGGAGAGAGAATATATACGATCGGATAAAAAATTGTTCCGTAGAAACTATCAATTGAAACTATGGTTTCTATATGTATGTCTACGAAAATTAATAGGTATAAAAACTACATGTAGGTTTTAGTACTGGGACTGCCCTATCACTTGGCTTAGAATTCTAGTTCAAAGACCAATATTGATTAGCCTCTCATACCTAACAACCTAGGTGAAATGATAAGCGATACAGCAAGCAAGCTATTGATACCTTTGTACAACTCATTGAGGGACGCTTTTTATTGAGAAACACTGCCACTTTATACACCCACCCACCACCAGACGCTCCTACACGCGCTTGTCACTTCATTTTATTTCTCGATCATATTTAAAAACAACTTTTTGACAAAGTTGAGATTTGTCACGTTTTTGGAGGCCGTATCAGCGTATCTAAAGTAAAGGCGCACACGCGTACGTGATTTACTGTTTAGACTCGTTGGCAAGAACAGGTCATCGATCTGTACGGAAGTAGCAGGGCAAGAGAATGTGCACGTACGCTAAGTGTCCTTACGAAATTCAGTGACGATGTACGTGTACGTCACCAACGACGGAAGAAGCACGCGAAACTATTGGTTTTCGGTACCAGCTATACGAGTGGTAAGAGCACCAAGAGCAGTTCCTAATACACCTCCTCTGATAACATAGTAACGAGGTAGCCCAATATCACTTTTCGAAGTATTAGAAGACATGCTGTAGCATATCTCTAATAATCTTCCTTGGTACTCCCTCCGTCCCGTTAAGATTGTCGCTCGGGAAGCGGGATTGTGAGGGGGGCACGGTTTTCCAACGACAAACTCAATGGGACGGAGGGAGTATATGGTTAGATTATATTTTTTATTTTTTTCTTTCTTCCCTTCTCTCCCATGGGCGGTGTTCGCTGGTCTGGAGGAGACCAGCCAGCCGGTTGGTTCCCCTCACGTGACACTGTTCATCCATCCATCCAGCCAGCCAAATAGTGTTTCTCTCTCACACAACCAGCTAGTTTCAGCTAAGATTCTGCCAGCCGAACGGGGCCATGGTCTCTTCTTCCCCGTGCGGTACGCACGCATCGCATCTGCCCATGGTGCTCCCGGCCGTGGCGCTCCTCCGCCCATCCCTCCCTGAGCTCCTCGGCCCCCCTCCGCCCACAGACATGCCGCTCCTTCGGCCCTCTCCGCCCGCAGCCATGCCATTCCTTCGGCCCCTCCGTGCCTACCTCCTCGGCCATGGCGCTCCTCTGTCCCCTGCCATGGTGCTCCTCCCTAGCACCGTGTCCGCGAGCTGGGCAACTGCTGCGGCGTCCTCCTCTTTCGCGACGTCCAGGATCGAGCGCGGCGTCCTTGTCCTCGGCGTCCGGGATCGAGCGCGGTGTCCTCGTCCTCGGCACCTGTTCGTCCTCGGTCTCGGCGCCCGTCCGCAGCCTCGCCCAGTTCGCCTCCAGCCATGGCTGCGGACGCGGGGCCTGTTCGGCTGTATTAAGGGCCTGTTTGGGATTACTCTGCTCCATCTTTTTCAGCTCTACTCCACCACAGAGCAGCTCCGTTGTGGAGTTTCTGGAGCAAGTGGACCTGTTTGGCACGCAGTTTAGCTCCAGCTCTGAAAACATGAGGTTTCTATAGGAAAGGTCTACTATGCCCCTGATCGATGTTTGGTGTATGTTCTGTTGTATGTAGAGCATGCGTATTGAATATTTTTTTTACCAATTCAAATATGGTGTAAATATTATAATCTCATTTAATTTATTGGAGAAAAGTAAAAAATAAATATTTCAGACAAATAATTCCATACTTTTGTCACGTAAATTTCAAAGCGCTTGATGGATAATTGACAAAGTTCATATTTCGGATACAAATAATTGTCCATACATAAATAGCTACGACATATATAACATAAGTTACCAGTACCTATAAACTATTTTGAAACATATATATCGTAGTCTTATTTCATATATCTCATCACAAGTGGCTCAATAGTATAAATCAGTGAAAAAAAGAAACAAAAAATTAACAACTAGAAAACACAAAACACATAATTGAGAAAAAAATGAAATAATTTATTATACGACTAATACGTAAGATTTAGGAGTGCATTCAAACCTAAAAAGTGACAGAACTGAAACTAAAAAACATGACTAAAAACTGAAACTAAAAAACCTGAAAAAAAAACACTAGCCTAAAAAAAGAAACTGGAAGGCAAATTCTTATACACGTTCGAACCTAAAAGGGTGACTAAAATCTAAAATTAAAAAAACATGGCTGAAAAATGAAACAAAGAAACAATAAAAAAAAACTACCAATTACGAAATACATTTGAACCTCCAATCTTTCTGAATTCTTCGCCATGTTTTTCCTCATCAGGATGGCAAAGACATTCAGTACATTCAGAATTTTACAAGATGCATTAGCACTGCAAAGAAAGATGTGGTAGTGTGCAGGTCTGAATCAATCAATACTGAACTAAGGTTACAACAATTAGAACACATGTGAAAGCTCTAGTTTGGTTTTGGTTAATTGATGAAACCCTAAGTGCTAACCTAGTTTATCAAGGTGATTATGAGATAGGTAGCACTACTCCAAGTGATGAAGCAATGACGAAGATCATGACAATGGTGATGGCATGGTGATGATCAAATGCTTGAACTTGGAAAAGAAGAAAGAGA